AATCTGCACTTCATCCCCGACACCCGCGCCTGCCACGAAATCAATATTTTAAGGTGAACTCCCCGGTGCAAAACTTTCTAACCAAGCAAATATGCCTCCTCTATCTTCTCTTATCTGATCTGATCTGATCTGATCTATCTATCTATCCATTTATCTTTCTATATTTCTATCTTTCTGCAGTTCAACATCCACAAAGTACTGCACCTGCCACGAAATCTGCACTTCAAGGTCCACAAAGTCTTGCGCCTGCCACGAAATCTGCACTCCAAGGCCCACAAAGTCCTGCACCTGCCACCAACTCTACACTTCCACCAGGGAAAAGGCAAAAGGCAAAAGGAACAGGAAAAGCAAAAAGGAAAAGGAAACAGGCAAAGGACAAGGGGAAAGGAAAAAGGAAAAGGAAGAGGAAAAAGGAAAAAGGAAAAGGGAAAAGGAAAAGGGAAAAGAAAACGGGGAAAGAAAAACAAAAACAATGGAAAACAACCGAAAAACAAAAAAATATCCAAAAAAAATACGAAAAAAATCCAGAAATAAATTCGCAACCTTCTGAAAGCCCTCCCCTCTCCCTCCAAGGTCATGGCGCTTTGAAGCCCCAGCAGGAGCGCATCCTTTGGTGTACCGCCCACCTTTTCCTACCTTCGACTCCAAAACGGAGGAATGAAAATGGAGCGACACTCGACGCTAGTTGAAGGGTAAAGAATGGTAAAGATGTGAAGTCATTAGGAACAAAGGCATCGCTACTAGGGGCTCCTGGCATCGCTACTAGGAGCAAGGACGCTACTAGGGGCTCCTGGCCATACTACTTAGTTACTATATACTAGGAACAAGAAGCTACTAGACTAGGGGCTCCTGTTTTGGGATAGTGTATTCGCAAGGTTCCCATTGCTATTAGGTTGGAGGTTGGAGGCCATCACTATTAGGTTGGAGGCCAATTACTTTGCCCTCGAGGTTGTCCCTCATGTGGTTGTTCTCCGAGTCTTTAAGATCACAGCAAAAACACCTTCATGATATTGATCCTATCACGCTACTGGAGATCTCAAAAAGCATTTGGTTGGTGTTTATAGCCTCCTACACAGTGTACTACAGAGCCATGGCGGAATTCAGCTCAAATTTTGGCGAAACATGCAAATGCATTCCAAAAGATGCTTCACGGATATGCTTCAGTGGCTAGGCTCATCTAGGTTCACCTGATTTGGGTATATTGAATTGAAACCATGTGCTTTGCCATGATGGATTGACCACTCCATGGTCATCCTGCTGCCTGGGGAGTCCCAGACCCTCACGGCGCCCATCAGCCAAGCGCGTGGAACTGTTCCCCGCGAGGTGTCCAAATGTGCCGGGGCGGCAAAGAACGCGAGGTGTCAATGTTTGGATCGTTTGGCGGTTACCCGAGATTGAACCAAAAGGCTTGTGGTCTAGGGTAGGATGGTATGCACCATGCAGACGGATCTAAGTCCCTTATGTATCCTTACGTGGCCATTTTTTTGGCCCAAGATAGACTTGATCGTTTTTGAGTTGACATTTTTGTTGGAGACATTTGGAGAATTTTGGAGATACAAATCATGGATGCACATGCGTATGGGAAGGTACATATCGCTATGTGGAGGCTCGCCCGCATTGTGAGACAACTTCAGTCTTGGTCTTAAACGCAAGACGACTGTCAAAATTAAATCAGCCGTTGTTTCGAGCTTTTGCGGTTATGCATAATGCTTGTACTCAACGTTGAATGAGGACAGAGGTGAAGTGCCCTGGATGCATTGGAGAATGCACTCGTACACACACAGTAATCGAGGTTGTGCCCATCAAATTGACATTGACCATCATCGTGGAACCAGAATGTCATGACCGCATCTAAAATATGACGGTGCACTTTTTGATCTTTGCTGTTGAATCGAGCCCCCAATGCATCAGACTAGGACAGGACGGCTGACTTTCCTCTTGATCCCAACGATGACATATCTGGGGTGATCTCTTCTGCGTCCTCCGGTCCTTTGCGAGACTACCAGGACCTCACTTCTTTGCTGTTTTGAAAAAAGGAAAGTGTGCCAACAAGAGCCTTTGGATAGTTGCTGGGTGCCAAGGACAAGCTAAAGGTCATCCAGCTAAGAGAGATTCTTTGCCGCCAGAAATATGTCACAAGTGATCACCGCAGCTAGTTACGGCTAGTTGATAGATCGATGACAGTTGATGGCCCTTGGGTTCTTAGAAGTCGAAGTCCCGAGCTCAGGAAGGGCCTTTCCAAGACGGAGATCGCTGAAAAGGTCGGCCGCTCGGAACATTGGGTCAAGAGGCGCGAGCTCATTCGACCGTCAATGGCTGAGATTGTTTGTATGGATTTAAGCGCATATGCCGTGTGAGAGACATCGACAATGAAGCAAACATTGCTTACAGCCTTTTCAAAGGCTGCTCCTTTCGTGCTCCATTTCAAGTCCACCTGTGCAGTTTGGGCCCGCTCTATGGACCATTGAAAACACTTGGAAAGCAGTTTTTGTGCACCACCAGTATTTTGTCCTTATAGTCACTAGTCATTGAAGTTTTTCATGATCCGCTTCTCCCTGTGCACTATGCAGGTGGTGGCGCGAACATCCGGCCACACTGGAACGGCCCGTTGGTTCTCGCGATGTGGTGTTGAAGAAGGCCTCAGTGAACGCCTTTCGCGACCTGGACATCAGGCCTCGAAGCAATTGAAAGCATCTACTGTACAACTCGCAAAGAAAATGAAGTACACACTACAGTATGTAATTAATCTACTCGTAGACAGTAGTATACATGAAACATCATGAAATACGAAGACATAATGTTAGCTGTCCTGGAAGTCGGTTAAAGCAGTTGCTCGGCTGCGGGTTCACTCCCTTCCATGACAGTAGCTGGACGACTAGTTGGTCAGCTTTTCGCTGAGGACACGCCTGACAAAATCTGAACTCCTTCGCGGCTATGTGCAAATGTCATGCTGTTTTGTTCTTTTTCTGTGATGTCAAGAGGCGTGGCTTCATCAAGGAATCCTCCACCTTCGACTCCCTGGTCAAGAAGGTTGGAGAGATGGACATTGCATAAGCACTCTCGAGATCCGACCAGACCCCAAAAGAAGCGTCAAAATGCCCGATAGTGAACAGATGTGAACAGTAAACATGATGATGCATGATAAGAGCACCATGTATGCCTTTTTTTGTTTGCAATTGTTTTGCCGTTTGTTGATACAATTTTGATCAATTTTGTAGTGGCTACATTGTGGTTAAGCAAGGCTTCGCACATCTTCGCACGAAATGATGCAGACAGATTCCCGTTTTTGTGGATTTCCGTGAGGTCTCCTGGAAGCAAGCCAAAGTCGTTGTGAGGGATTCCAACACAGGAGAGCTCACCCTGAGATACAACGAGAAGGGGCAGTCTGTCAGTTCAGGTCACTAAGCAGCATGAGAGTGGGAACTTGAATGAACTTGACGGGTTGCCTGCTGCCTACAGCTTCACAAGCTGTGGCTATTGCTGCCTTGCCTAGATTTGGACCTGAAGCACTGTCTCGTTTCGCACTGAGCGAGGTCGACAGGTGGCTGACTACACCGGTGGCCTAGATTTTTTGGACGAGATTCTGCAGAAAGTGCTACTTTGATAGCACGCGGCCTGCGATTCTAATGCCATAAGGCTGTTCACTTGCTGTGGGCTGACCGGTACCACCTCAGGTTCTCCCAGATGAACATCCGGGATCCACAAGCGCGGATCTTCATGAATTTTTATGCGGATGGAAAGGACAAGATTGCAGCCCACAGACATGATTTCTGGACTTGCTTGTCCGGGTCTTACTTAATGACAATTGCTGTTATGCCCCTTCGTGGAATTTGCATCTGATGGAGGAGTTACCTTACCTTGTCAACCAAGGCTTTCCTTTGGCTCTCCAAGAATTCTCACTGTAGATCGCCGCCCCGTACTGTTGCGAGATGGTGATTTGATTGTTTTCGGCACACAAACTCACGGGGTACCAACAATGTCCCGTCCTTAGCGGAACATGATCTACAATTTGCGAGTCAGCAGAGCAGCTTGTGAGAGCCAATGTCCCAGTTCGTGGTTGCGGCAGGCCGGACATCACAGACGGAAGAGTATCATTGGTTATTTTTTTCTACCCTGATGCAGACAACCTGGAGCGACAGTGGCAAACAATCAACGAAGATGATGAAGAGGAGAAAAGCATAACTGATGTTGGATGCTCATTTGTTGTTGATTGCTGAAGAAACCAAAGTGTGTTTTCTCAACTACGGTGGTGCTTAAAGCTTACAATGCTGCAAAAGTGGGGGATATCGAGGGCTACTGTGCAAAACGGGCAATGGTCTTTAGCGGGAGCCAAACAATGGACGGGGTGACGTTCTCTTTTATTGAACGAAGCACTTCGGGCTAGCTGGTGCCATCTAGAATCTAGCGCCGTTGGTTTGCGTCGGGCCGACTAAGGTGCGAACCCTTAGCACGGGCATGGACAAAGGCTTCAAGGCATCATTGTTGTGGGGTGACAGTAAAGAAGAAAGCACTGGCAAGAAGCTTGGCCGCACCAGCGGAGAAAGGTTTCAAAATGATATCAAACGCGCCTTAATTTGCTACCTGTGCCCTGTCATTCCGCCCAAGGCACTGTGGTTGTGGAACACATTCTTCAGAAGCTGCACTGAATCATGCACTCGATCCAAGCAACACAAAGAGGCGATGTTTGTTTGTGAGCAAATTGCAGAGTGAGGGGCTTTTGGTGGTGCAATGGGTTTGTGTACCCCTGAAAAAAATCAGTCAGCAAAGATGGACTTCAGGGTTGGAGTGTGTTTCCTCTACACTAGGTCGTTGCTGAGCAGTCCCAATTCCGGTTTGCAGTTCGATGGCACCTCGGCATGTACATGACAATCATCAAGCTTGAAGAGGTTAATCACGTCAAACTCAGAGTATTTCAGAGTCGTGCTAGTAGTTGTGCTCCAATGGATTCTACTGATCTGGATTATCATGCATTATCAGAACTAGATGTGTTGCTGGTTTCTCAAGGTTTGCCACAAGGAGCGCCAAACACAGAGGGGATAACTGTCTTCTCTGTAGCAACTGGTGGGCAGCATGGATACGGAGATGATCAACGACTGGAGGAGAAAGACTTCTTCAAGTTGCGCATGACTCAAGCAGAAGCAGAGAAACACATGAAACACTGACAGTTCCTATCAAAAAAAGAACACCGTCATGTATTTGTGACATGTCAATGTTTGTTGGGATTCGCTCAGGCTGTCAAGACACGGCATTACAGCGCTTTGGGATTTCCGCATCCGTGAAACTGATTGGTCAGAGCCCAGCAGCTTCAAGAGGGCCTGCGCGGCGCGCTCCATCTCCTACCGTGGCTCAGCACTTGACAAGCTGCAGCCATGGGACGTCATGGGCAAAATGTCCAGTGCGTTGGCACTTGCATTGGCTTTGCGGATGGACATTGGTACTCAAAATTAAGCAAAATCAACATGACTCATCCCCAATCTCAGACTAGGGAGGCCCAAGGTCGAGGCTTATGCTTAGCAACCCGTATTGCACACGCAATGTCGGAAACCTGCGCAGCGATTTTTCGATTGGAACCATGGAAGAGGTAAGGAATCAACACGGGCGACTCAAAAGGTTCCGACGGAACCGACTGCTTCTTCCCCTTACGGCATGACAATTTCTATCACTTGTTCCGGTTTGAACTTAATGTTGGATCCTGATGAGTAAAAGGGATCCCCCCCTCTAACAAGTGAGAGGTCCTTTATAATAAACTACCACCGAAACAAATCTGGGTTCCTCGGAGGATTCCTTTTGTAATTGACTGTAGTCTGTAGTATTAATTTTCCTTTCTCATGTTCTTTGTAATTAGATATTCTCAGCAATCCTTTCATACTACTAAGAAGGGGACAAGGAAGGTTCTCAGGTTCTTTGCGGCTTTGAAGAAGAACTAGAGAAACCTATACTTATCAATACTCTCAGCAAGCCAGCCATTGACAGTATTCACGGGTCTCCGAAGGACTTGAAACCTTAATGATTCTTCAGATAACAAAAAATTAGGATCAACATTCATGTGCGAATGTTGTGGAAAATCCCCTGAGTGAAATGAACAAGAAAGCCAATACATATTTACATTGCCGTTTTTCGACTCATGAATCAGGAGTGCGCGAGCCCTTTTCTAGGTTGGGTTCGATCACGGCCGGTTATCCGAACCTGGCCTTTCAGCCTGCCTTGTGTTGGCAAAGTATCATAAAGTATCCTTGTTCTTCCTTGCGAAGAGATGAAGGTACCTATCCTCTCGGCCGGCGGGAAGCTGGAGGCATGCAGGGCCATTTGCAAAGTGAGGAAGGTCAAGATGTTCTACGACGTTTCGCAGAGGCCGGGCGTGGGGACATTCGGGCGTCGGCGCATTCGGAAAGACAAAGTGCAGAAACATGATGGTTTTGGTCGAGATTCTCCAAAGCTCCTCCGGTTCTGCCAGGTGTCCACTCAAGCCGCAGCTGCCTTTGCTGTTGCACAATCAGGAAGCACAGCAGGTAGCTCTAGGGCCGAGGTGGATGTTGTTTTTAAAAGCTGTGCTGAGATGGTTCATTCATGTTCATTCTGTTTTCATGGTTTTGCTACAATGTGGCGGGGGCACATTGCTGCAGGTGGCAGAGCAGCTTTCATCAGGCAAGTTTGGCCAGATAAAGGTCATGCATATCCTGCCGGACGGTCAACTACTCGAACACCAGGAGAGATCTTTGCAGGCGCTCGACGGGCTCTTCGTTGGTGCTGAGTGGTTTGGGCAGAAGCGGCCGAGCCACTAGGGGCTCCTGGCATCGCTACTAGGAGCGAGAGGACGCTACTAGGAACAAGGGCTTCTGCACTCTCACTACTGTACTAGGAGCAAGAAGCTCCTAGTAGCAAAGGGCATCTTTGACCTTTTGCCTCCAAAGAGTTGAGTGGTTTGGGCCGTTCTTCGCACAGGCAACTCCTCCAAAACCTGCCGAGCCAGTTACCACCGAATCTCCAGCCACTTGCTGAAAAGATGTTTGCGTCCAGATCTGTGTTGAGGTCCTTTGTTTGTTCTTGCAGTTGTGTGCCTTTTGATGTCTCCAAATTCTCCCCATGGTTTTGGTGAGACAAAGATTCCTCAGGCCATCACTTCCGCAGTTCCGGCAGAAGTTGTCGCTCCTTGACTGGAGGTCTGGAGGTAGCCAAAGTTGTTGAAGTTTCGGTGTACCGGGAACCATAGATGTGGTCTTTTGCAGGAACTTCATGCACTGAATCAATGCATGAAGTTCCTGCCATTGAACAGAAGGAAGCAATTTGAAGCAATCCTCACAGGGTAGAAAGGGAAGACCTTTATGAGTCTGAACATAGTCCAGTGCTAAGGAAGTGGAATCCGGTCAGCGGCGCAACCGCTGGGGCCGCAGAAAAGCGTGAGGCCAATTCCCACACTGTGTCGAACCAGAGGCTGTGCGCTGAGTTTTAGATCCTGTGAATATCCTTCCTGACGAAGATGCGTTAATGCTCCGGAAAGACTCTGTTTCTGAGTCTGTCCTTCAGCCAAGCGGACAGTGCAAAGAAAACTGGCTGGCATGTAGAGACGAAAAATGGCGCTTGTGTGTTCTTGCTTATGAGGCATGGCGGCCCACCGTGGTTCTCTTGCTTCACGTTTTAGTTCTGCAAGCGAGGTGCTTGCCGGCTCAGACCAATGCAGAGGCTGGGTGCTGAGGGAAATGGTTCAACAATACGGAATAGGTTGGATGAGCCAATCAAGGCGTTTTGCTTCCGTTTTGTATATAGACATTCAAGGCGTGTGACTTGGGGCCGTACGCTGGCTTTGTCAAGCGGCAATTGGAGAGTGCGCCAGATGCCATCGGCATGAAGGAGATCCAGCATACGTGCATCTTAAAGCAAGTTGTGGCTCATACTCAGTGCATACTTGACGCATACCAATTGGACCAAGACGACTGTACTCAGACGAGATTTGGGATGTTTTTGGTTTCCACCAGATTGGGCGAGAAATTGGGTTGGATCAAGAAGATGGCCCCCTTTTCACTCCCCAGCTCGGATGGCCACAACACGTTTCACGCGCTCTACGGACAGGAGTGCACCAACATCTTAGCTTTATCTCGACGCCTCAGTTCGAATCGCAGTCAGCTACTTGCAGAACTACGGCAGTGCCTTGGACTGCCAAGGAAATTGACAACCCATTCCATTCATCCCATGGTCTAAATTAAGCAATCCCGGTGCTTCAGCCCCTGATTTGAAGCGTGAAGTTTTAGGGATAGATTCCAAGGCAAGGCCAGAGGCTGCAGGTGGCGAGCTTGGAAGTCCTGCGTGTTGAAGGTTCATTGAACTTCATGTGCAAAGAAGTGACATGTTGAAGACAGAGAAGCGGTTTCAAGTTTAGGGTTCCTTGATTTCAGCGGAGACAGAGCTGAAGGCAATCAGCAACGAGAAGTCGCAGCTCTCGCAGGATCTGAACTCCCTCCAGGACCCTCTATGATGTTGTTTTAATAACTCGTGTTGTTTAGATGTGATGATGATGATGATGATGATGTGATTTGTCCACACTGACCCTCTGGAGGACCGTTATGCTCTTCTCCAATCAAATCATGATGTGCTCCGGGCGCTACTCCCAGCGTTCCAACTGCTTCGCCCTCCAAGACCCTCTCGCTTTGAGGCTTCGCAAGAGCCTCGCACTGAGACGGAGGCAACGGTGCCCCGTGAAGACCAGACCCGCATGCCTGTGATGTCCACACCCAGCCGAGACAGGTGTCATTCCGTTAGTAGACATGAGGTCAAGACTGTTTGTTTCCAGGAAACATCACGAATCTAGGCAAGTTCATGCAAGTTCGATGTCACAAAGAAACATGGTCATTGTTTGCCTGTTTGGTCAAAAAGATATCGAGGGTACTACGTGACCTGGCAGAGTTTACCTCGAGTTCTAGACATTGTGCATCATGGTGAATTACATGCTGTCATTGGAACTTAAATCTTCAATGGTTTCTTGCTGATGTCTAGGCGTTTTCGTCAGACATCCCTGGGAGTACCAATGAACTGCTTCTGAGTTCAAGGCAGGTTTATGTTGGTGATCATTATAAAGCCATATATAGCTATTAGCAGCGTCTTGCTTTTCCAAAGAAGAGCAGGGGTCTACACAGCTTTTGTTACAGAGCTCCAGGCAGCGTGCCTTGCTGGGAAGCCTCGCTGTGACAACACAGGCCCGGAGCAGTTTTCCACCCACTTGACCCATTTGAGGCAAGTCTTTAATGAAAGTGTTGATAGGTGTTGTACTTGTATTATCTTGTATTATTGTTTTGACTTGTAATACATATTGTTCTATCACGCCCTCATCACCCTCAGCTGCGAGAGGTGGGTGTGAGTTCCTCACCGATCCTGACAGGAGAGCTCAGGGATGAGGCAGCACGGCTTCTTCGTATGGATCTGAGATGATTGAATCGATTAAGCCGGCATATTTGACATGGCTGTGGGTCAAAACCGTGGGCTGACCCCAAAAAATGAATAGAATAGAATAGACTATTAATGAGGTCAACCTACCCTGGTTTGGGGATACGGGTTTCTGACACAGCCATATGAGAGACATGCCAGTTGAAACGTTTGTCCAAGGTGGATGTGGTGAGCTTAGACAGTGGCGAGGCTTCTTTGGCTGCAGGGCCGCCTCGTCCTGAGGCTCAGGGGTCGAATTTGCCACGCGAGGGAATCTTGTCACCTTCCACCAATTCCAAATTGTACTGCGATTGGAAGTAAAGGTTTGATTCGATGCACAAAGATTTATATATCCATTTGAGTGGATTCATAAACATCCCCATCTGCTCATCCTACGCATCATGCCCGCAACGCATCGCATCGTTTGCGTCATGTACGTAGGGCATCAGCTCATCATCCACATCTTGACGCATCAGCGCATCATCCACATCATGCGTGTTACACATCAGGGCATCATCCGCATCATGCACATAGCACGTCAGCTCATCACCATCATCATCGTCATCGTCCGTCATCGTCGTCATCATCATCATCATCGAAGCGGATTAATTGCATTCCACCAGACGATGAGTTGAGTGGCCCAAAAGGCCAAAACCTCTGTAAAACGCATGGTGTTCTAGCCCTCAGCATGTTGCTTTCCGGGCAAACCCCCCGTTTACCCAACATCTTACAATGATTCATGGCTGAGAAATTGCATTTTACTGTGGATTTCAAGGGGGGCCAATCCCTCTAAGACCAACGAATCCCCCAAAGGCAGCCTAGGGAAAAACAAGGTCGGCCCAAGCAAGCAAAGCAAGCAATGCGTGTGCTGTTTTCCTCGCAGATTGCAAGGGGTCATCCGGATGCCTATGAGTGAAAAACCAGCGGATGCGAAAAGCTGCACAACATCAAGCAAGTCAAGCGAAACAGCTGAATCACATCAGGGAGAAGAGGCGTTGATGTTGTTGCGTCCATCATGCTTCAGCTGCTTCATCCTTTCTTTGCGGCGTTCACGCTGACCTTTTCGAATGCCAGCACGCCTTTCTTCTTCTTTCACATCACTCTCCGTCTGAACTAGGCAAACCATGCCTGAAGACTTCAGCTCTTCCAGGAGAGTGGCTGGCATGTCCTTCGTCAGAGGATCCGCCAGCTGGCGCCATGTTGGCGTCCACTTGAGGCCCACGACTTCGTCCTCTATGAGCTGCTTCATGAGCAGCATGTCGAGAGCTGCCTGTCTCTCGGTGGCGACTCCACCTGTCTTGTGAAGGTGGTCGTGGAGCCCCTTCGCGTCTGTCACCAGGCATCCTGGTGTCACCAGGTTGCGACGCCATTCCTGATCGATGGCTGTCTTGCCATACAGGAAGGCATCCAGCAGCACCCTGCTGAACAACTGGCGATCACCTGCACTGCTCATCGCGCAGCCTTCAGCGGCCAGGCTGCTTCTCACCACCCGCCTAATGCGGTTGCTGTGGAACTCAAGGACACATGCCGGGGCTGGCTGCTGAAAGGCTGTCGTGTTCGTGAGGAGATGTATCTCCCCTTGTTGGGCTTGGGCACTCTTGGAATTGCCGAGGCTGGCATCAAAGAAGCTGACCATGAGCGGCTGTTGTGGAATTGGAGGAATCCTCATGATCGCTTTTCCTCGGGATGCTCCCTCTTTCATGCTGGCAAGTACTTTGTTGGCGTACTTTAGATCTCCACCAGTCGCCTGTCCCACCCGTTGTGCCAAGTCGCTGACCCGGAAGAGATATTCTGGGAGCACATGGTGAGCGGGCCACCTGAGTTGCATGATGAGGCGTCTGAATGCTGAGAGCTGCTTGCCTTCCAGTGGTGCCTCAGAGGGGGTTTCTTCTTTTGCAAACTCGACCTTGGCTATGTATTCTGTCATGTCGTCGATGAAGCCAGTGGTCGTATATTGGGTCTTAACACCCAAGAAGGTCTCTGGCTCTTTCTCCAGGTCCTTCCATTCCTTGATGGCAAAGCGGTCATCGATGGACTTTTGGATTTTGTCCGCTTGCGACCTGTCTGTTATCAAAAGGCCGTCGTCCACGTGGAGGCACAAGATTGCTTCCACCTTGGAATCTTTACCTTTCTTGATAAAGGTTGCTTTTGCCATCTGGAGTTCTTCAAACCCTGCAGCCACCAGGAGCTCTCGGGCTCTCAAGTACCAAAGCCTTGGTGCCTCAGAAAGTCCATAGGCACTCTTGACCACCCTCAGCAGTTCTCCTGGTCGTACAGCAGGTTCATTCAGCTCTGGAAGCGCTGGCAGACCTTCAGGTGGTGCTTTGATCATGACTTCTCTTTCCACTTCTTTTCCACTCAAGAAGGCTGTCGTCACATCGAAGGTGAGGGCTCGCCACTTCTTCATGGCACACACTGCCTTGGCCAGCTGGACACATACCCACATGACTGTGGGTGCATCGGACCTGTATTGGCCCAGGTGAGGGTCCAAATGGCCTGGAATGACCATCCTGGACTTGGGTTGGAACAGGCCTTGCAATGCCCCTTTGTTCACCCTCACAATCCTTGCTGGCGCCTTGAAGACGTTCTTTGGGTCCACCTTCCTCGCCTCCTCCGGAGTGAGTCTTTTGATCACTCTATTTTTGACCCATGATTCCCATTCCTTCTTATCTGAAACTTCAAAGCCCTGTCGTTCTTCTGCACTGAAGAGCCGTGGATCGAGTTCCTTCCCATTGGCTTTCATCTGCAGCAAGAAAGCCTCGAAGAAGGCTTGCTGGTTTTCCTCCTCCTCAACCAATTGCTGCCATTGGTGCAGATCAGTCACCAAGACCTGATGGAGTCCACTGGGAAGTTCCACAAAGGCTTCTTGTCCTTCTTTTGGAATTGTCCTCCTGGGCTGGCTGACAAAAAGACTCATCCCCCGCCATAAAAAGGGGGCTTTCCTCTTCGGGCGGGCCTTGGCTTCTTCGGCCGTTTCTTGTGTCACCAGCGCAGTACCTTCCTTTTCGCCCATCATCACTGTATATCGGGCCTTGCCTTTCTGGTGCTTGGGATCTTGAAGCCGTTTCCTTGCCCCGAAGTGATATCGGGCACTGGTGATTGGGAGATCTAGTAAAATCCTCAACTTCTGGATTTCTTCTTTGGTGGTCCATTGATTTGCTCTCCTTTTGCGATCTTACTGAGGCCACCATGATGTAGGAGAAGAAGGAAGGTCGAAACCGTTTCACCAACTGCTCTTCTGTCATGGTGCCAGGTTCTTCTTCATGACTTCTTTTCTTGAACTGCTGCGGCACGTCATCCAACAGGTGTTGGCGAAGTCTTCCTTGGAAACCTTCCTCCTGGGGTTGTCCGAGCCACTGGTTCATCTGGTCTCGGATCTGTTGCATCTTGTTTTGATGCTCTTCATCATCTCTCTGTATTGTTTGGTCTTCTTCTCTTGTTTCCTTCTTCTTCTCCTCTTCTCGCCCCTTTGATGCGGAAGCCGTCCGCAGATCGAGGCGATCTTCCTTCTTTCTTCTTTGCTTTTGTATCGTTTTGATCGTCTTCATACCTTTAAGGGTCTTGGCAATCTCCTTGGCCCGATTCTTAGGTCGTCCTCCAGGCTTTGGGGCAAGGACTCCATCGTGAGCTTCCCAACCCAATGCTTCCTGGGGCTCTCCTTCTTCAATGGGCTCTGGAGCGCCACTCATATCTTCATAATGCTTGGTTCCTCTCTGCCAGTTGTCTTCCAACTCTTCACTTTCCTTCAGCCTCTGAAGATGGTCGCCTCCCTCGAGTTGCGAGGCTGCCCGAATGTTGGCAGTGGAAACCAAAAGGCAGCGTCCTCGCCAGCTGAGGAAAAAACGCTGGTGGGACTCCTTTGCCAAGACCATTGCAGGGCCTCTCCAAAAGCCAGGCTCCTTCTTGAATCTGGTGCTGAGGGGTTTTGGTGCATAGAAGTACACCAATTCACCTCATTCAAACTCCCTCTCTTCCCCTTTTGGCCATCGTCTGAGGGCTTTTCTCAACTTTGCCTGAACATCGTGCCTCAGAAGAGTGGCTCGAGCGGCTGCCCTCATTTCTGCAGCTCTTTGAACTTCACCTTCGAGAGAAAGGGATTCCCTCAATGACATGTTCCCTTCCACATCTTCTTCCAGGAGATCAGGGAACATAGGTTGTCTTCCAAAGGCAAGCTGGAATGGCGTGTAGCCTCCCTTGGTGATCGTGGAGTTCTTGGCTTGTATAGCAGCACATAGGGCATCTTTGACCTGACTTCTGCCTTCTACCTTGTACTGCCATGCCAAGGAAGTAAACATGGTGCCAAGCAAGGCGCCATGCCGTTCTGCGAAGCCGTGCTGCCATGCTGACTTGCTGCCACTGACTTTGCTAAAAATTCCATGTTGCTCCAGGAAGCCGGTGAAGTAACCATCGAATTCTCCGCCTTGGTCCAAAACAATGGTCTGTGGTGACCCGTACAGTGAGATCCAGTGGCGAAGACATTTGCGGGCAACATGTTCAGCAGCTCGATTGCGCAGCAAGACAGCTTGATGAAATGAGGTGGCTCCGTCAACCATCGATAGGGCCACGAACAAATTGTTCTTGTGGTCATGGAGGTACTTCAGGTCACAGTGCAGTTCTCGTCCAAAAATGGTAGTTCTCATCTCTGCACTGGCCTTCAAATATCTTGCTGGCGCTTGTGTCTCTTGGCATGTAGGGCACTGGAACTGTTGGGCCAACTGGATGGTCTCTTTTGTTGCACCTGCTAGGGAAAGCATCTTGCTCAAAGTAGCATTGGTGGGATGTCCCAAGCGGTTGTGCAGTTGTTGGATCTTCCAGCTTTGAGGCCTTTCTTTCTTTACTTCTTTTTGTTCCTCCCCTTCTTCTTCATCTAGATCTTCTTCTGGAAAGGAGGCACATGTGATCAACACTTCAGGCTGCCTTCCTTTCTCCTCCAAGATGCACTCAGCTTGTTTCACCACTGCCTGTGCAAAACGAGTGGTGTACCCACCTGCAAAATCGGAGACATTCATCCACTTGTCTCCATAGCGCATGCCACCCAACACTGGAGTGTGTTGGTGTGTTTGAGGACATGTGCGTGCCAAATGGTGGACCAACTCTGGTGTTCCTTCGAGCCGAGTTCTTTTCCTCAAAAACGGTCCTCCTCCAGGAATCCTGAGCCCATACTGACACATGTCGGTGATTGCTGAGCCCATGCCATCAAAAGCTTCGATGATGAGAGGTTCCTTCCAAGCCAAAGACGGCTT